ACTCATGCAGCGGTCAAGCAAATACAAAATCCCGTGATGGGATTCCATTGTGAATGATCAGTAACTACCACAAACACACTGTGCGGGTGCTGCCTCCGTTCTTAGCATAGCCATTTGACAAAATACGCTAATTCTACATCAACTGATCATGTCAAGAATGGAAGACATACCTGCCTGAATTAAATCATGTCATACAATGTTGAGGAGCCGCCACTGATTATCAGGTGGAACACTTGAAGGTCATGCCTAAGTTTAAATGAACTAATAGACTTGACGTCTCTTTGTGTTCCACGCATTTCTTGGATACTATACTAAAGGACGCATATAATGTCACTCTTGCAGCAGAGACGTCACCACCTTAACATTAAAAATACAGGACAAGATCAAAATTAATACACATGTCACTTGTATCACCACATTCGGCGGCGACGCGTGCCAACTTCGACAACGACAATGCTGTCTGAAAAGAAAATCATATCTTTGAGAAAAAGACTTCACCTGTGCTTTAAACAATGGCTTACCTTCCTGCGACTAAGAAGCTGGTTTTCATTACGGGCGGTCGTCAGTAATTCTTCGCTTGCCTATTCGAAGAAAACTATATATCAAACAAGGAGACAAAATCAGAATCAGCAACCTAGTACCTGAGCAAAATCACCGGTTTTGATATGCAGCAACCAGCCCAGATGTGTGTTTTGGGAAACAAACCTTTCCAAATGCGGTCCGCATTGAGAGAGTAGTAGACTGATCTTGTTGCGCTTCACATAACGACCATAGAGAGCGTCTGCAAATGCCGGATCCGACAACAGGTGCTGCAAGTCCTGCAACAAGTCGGGTCGATCGCTGTCCTCATAGATGTCGATCAACGTTTCGTAATCACAGAATTTGGTCGCCAGCGTGGTAGCCGCGTTCGCATCGCCCAACTTGTCTAAAGAAAACCAGTCATTCAATAAATGTTACAGCATCAATGGAAATCTGTGCTTGAAACAAATCCGTACACAGGGAAAAAATGAGCTCATGGCACAGCAGCCGAAAGCCTTGCAGACTCTGTGACAGTGAGCCGGTCTCATGGCGCGGTTTTGGCGCCGTCCGCATCTGCTTCATCTTCGCTGACACTATCCAATCGACCAAGTCACATAGGCGTGGCAAAAGACCGGCTTTCACTGATGAATCGGCGGTATTCTGAACGACGTCCTTGCACATCTCGTACTGCTCTAGCAATGCGTCAGTCACTTCCGTTGATTCTAGCCATGTGCAACTTTGACTGACATCGCCAACGAACGGATGAATGTAAAGGTCATTCCGCGACGAACGTAGTTTCATCACTGCTTTGAATATATCCTGAAAAGCGTCAGTGAAAAATAACGAAATTAATTTTAACTGACTTTCGATAATCATCCTGTTCAATCTAAAAAGCAGCATAAAACACGGTATATTAGTAACCCAACACGGCGTAGGACGAGACGACTTCGAAGCAAAACCGATGCGGACAGCAAAAAAATTTCCAAAACTTTACCAATCACGTACCTTGAAGAAGGGTCGAGAAAAGTTAGCCGAAACATCGATGTTGGTCAATTATTGGAATGACCATGTTTTTTGCGTTTTTTAATAAATCGTGTCTATTACTGCTTTTTA